CATCTGTACATCAGTTACTTTGGGCTCCTGACCCTACTGAGAATAAAAGGATCTGCCCCCAAAGGAAGAAAAGAAACCCAGCCATGTGTTTAGCACCAGGAAAATCACATCTGTGGTGTAGCTGTTAACTGCATGATTTTCCAGAAAATGTTTAGGCTTGTTGCTTTTCTCTGTCAGGAAAATTGTTTAGCTCTTCATTAAACCCATTATAATTTCATTTTCAAGGAATGCTACGGTATAGATTTTGTGAGAAATCCAAACATTTGATGCTTTGATGTTGCCTTCATAGTATAAAAGTATAATATATGTGACTAAATACTGATTTTTAAATGAAGAGTGACAAACTCTAATATTGCCAGAAAGACACTTAGTGCATTTCGATTTACAGAAGCATTTCCCCTCCCCAGCCACTGTCCATAAACAAAGTAGCTTCTCTTCTTTCAAAAGTCATGGGAATTTTAAAAAAGCAGCAAAACCCTTACTTCTTTAGCCAAGCCAAGGCAGAAGTTAACATCTGAGACTCAGAGCACAGGAGCACAGGCTGATACAGAAAATCTTTTCCCCTCACAGACAGTTCTTGTCAGGCTCCTGCTCTCCTCCATCCCAGGAACAGGGGCAAGGGCACATCTGACAGAACAGGCACCAGGTGAGAAAAGCTCCACACAGAATTTTTCCTCATATCCCAGGCAAACATTTAGGATTTCATATCTTATCCCCTTGAATATTATTGCCATCATGCTGAAAATCAAAAAAGAAGTGCATTATATAAACATATTTGCTTTCTTACTATATGAGTTACATGAGAATGTTTGGCTTGGTAAAACAAACCCAGTTTTCAAGTAGATTTACCCTTCCAGTAGACAGTCTGCTCCCCTGAATTGCCAGCATCTGTAGGACCAAAGCCCCTGGGGATCAGAAAGGTTTTCCTTCCTTCCTTGATAGCCATCTCATTTAATTTGCCCTCAAACACCCAAGTGTGCAGAGTTTTGAAATCTCTGTTTTGATTCAGCCTACAAAGAATACTTCCTTTCTTTTTCTAACATGAAACTCACCTTTAACAGAAATAAAAAGCTTAATGTACAAACCTACCCTTTATGCTTAGCATAAACTTATTATTTCAAGAGATTGAAAGGAGATAGCTCATATAGCACTGCAGTATTCTGCAGTCTTAGTTAACTCTTTGATTATGTATAAGTTGTGGCAATAGTGGAATACTCAAAATTTGAGAGAAACACATTTTCTACTTTGAACCTGGTTTGCAGATAGCATGGCTGAAAGAGCACAGGATCATCATCAAAATATTTACTGTTCATCAACTCGAGCCAAGTGGGTGCTCTGCTGTAGTTTTAGCTCCAAAGCTGAGAAGTTTCACAAATTGCTATAACAACAAAAAATGGGCATTAAAGTCTTCTCATATTTGTACACACTTTTCTCCTGCCATCTCACAGACACAAAAAATAAAATAAAATAAAACCCCCAAACCTCTCAGTTTCTCCACCTTGACTGGCCACCCCATGGCTGGGGCAAGGACAGGACGACCAGAAGGGGAAGAGCCCTGCTGCTTCCTGCCACAGGCAGCACATGACAGAGCTGCATCCTCTATTTAAATGCCAAACCTGAACAGAGACTACAAGAGTCCAGACCAAGCTGCCCTGGCCTCACCAGCAAGGCCTTGATCTTAATTCCAACAAATTCAAGGCTAGACAAAGCTAACCTGTGTTATTGCACAGCATATACCAGTGTCTTTTCTTGATGGTAGAGACTTATGGAAGACGAAGCATGAATGACCTGGTGCTTTAAATGCATGTTGACAAATGTCTCTAGAGACAGCAGGCCCCTCAATTCCCAGAAGAGAAGGCTTGTGCCAACAAACGAGGTGAAGTGGGTACACCCAGTGTCAGCCTGTGCACTCACCAGTCCCCTGCTGCACTGCACACTGACCCCGCAATGGTTCCATAAGGTTTTATCTTGTAGGTGCTACTCAAATAAAGTCTGGGAAAAAGCCCATTGTAGGCTCTGGCAAGCCCCAGGCTAAATTTCAGGTTCCCTGACACCTCCCCCCAGCAGATGCTGCTGTAAGCCTCATACACTGGCAGCAAGGTCTGAGCTTGGTGTTCCACCCAGCCAGCCTCCTGGATTCAGGCTGCTGCTGTCCTGTGTGGGCAGCAAATAGCACCCAGGAAGAGAGAGAACCCTGAACCAGGCCTCTTGCCTCCACCTTGTGCGAGCAGGGATGCAATAAACCCCTCGTGTTGTAATTGCTGAGAACAAAGAGGAGCTGCTGACCTCAGACCTAGAAATAGAACCTGAGAAAGACCACACTCCTGCTTCAGGGCAGACAAGCTATGCAGAACTATTTCTGTGAACTATTTATATCAATAACTATTTCTGTTAGGTACCTACAGCATTTACAAGAGCAGAGCATCTGGCTGACTCAGTGGGGATTGCCATGCCTCCATCTTTTCTGCTCACCAGCACTGTTCCTTTCCACCCCAGCTCACAACTGCAGCCTCAGCTCACACATTTGGGGTAATTTCCTTCAATACAATCCCACAGCAACTCCCAACTTCCAATTTTACAGTAGCAATAATGCAAAATTAGCACTGGATTCAGTTCTGTTGTTCAGTTTCTCTGATGCCCCCAGCTTTCAGACCAAGGTGAGGGTTTGATGCATTGTTATGACAAACCTTTCAGGAGGAGAAGATAATCATGCACCACCTGGGTTACTGCAAATTCAATTTACTTTGCAGCATGCTTTATGCTGGTCTGGAGCTATTAAAGAGAGACAGTTTCCAGTTGAGGAGCGTGCAGCATTGTACAGCTAAATTGCTTTCCCAGGGCTGCCCAATGCTGCCCCTCCTGCATCACCCTGGGGCTGTTCATCCCTGGAGGCCTCTCCCCACCACCTCTTGGGAGAACACATCTGGGGGCAGAGCCTGCAGGAACATGATATTGGGCATTAGCCTACCTTTGTAGCCCAGCCCAAACACCTCAAACCATTTTCTCTTACCTAGTCAGGCAGAACTGTCCCCTTACTTCCCCCCAACCAGACTGGGACAGGATCAGAATTCAGGAGAATAGGATCCACAAGCAAAGAAAGAAAGAAAACCCTCTTGGAGGTGATTTTTTTCTAATAGGGACAACTATCTTCCTTTAAATTACTGGCACTCTTCTTCTCTAAAAAACTTTTCAGCTTGTGGCAACCAAGGCAAATTGTTTTCAAGCTACCCTAGAAAGGCAGCACCAGAGACAGTATCCACATGTTACAATAGACAACCAGAAAAAGGGTCTTATAAAAGATGAGATAAAAGATAAGAAAGTAAGAAAATAGCTCTCAAGGTAGGCCCCCCCCAGCTGGGATGTGCTGCATCTCTGGGACATGACTGCATTCCTACCTGGGGAACTGCAAAGCCACGATCTCCACACTGAACACGCTGCCTTCCACCAGAATAAAGGAGGCTGACCTTTCACAAAAGAAATAATTGTAAATTTAACAGGATTACCACCTGAAGCAGAGATTGCATTTGGAGATGCCTGCTGTCTGAACAAGTTTAATTCATAGGTGTATCTATCTCTCAGACCCTGGTTTCCCATGCAGCCCAGAAACACATGGAACATTCACTCTTGCATAGGTATTACCATAGTTAAATATTTAGCTGAAACTGGAAGAGTTTACCACATCTCTAATAATATTACAGGATATTTTCTTGAACAGCTAAATGCAATCCCCATTTTTAAGAGGACAGTTAGAAATTAAAAAATGGAATTGTGATTTTGTTATGAAACATCTAAAAGGGACTAAGATCTGAAAAAAAACCACCAAAAGGGCTAGCACTGAAGCACGGTTAGTGATACAGGAATTAAACCTAGAGACTACCTTTCAGGAGGATTAGCTTCCCTCATCCACCCCAATTTTGTATTCTACACTGAAGGACAAAGCACCAAAATGTCCTAGCAAATCCTTCAGAAAACAGCAATTACATTTTTGTTTAGGGCATGCAATTCTCGGAGAAATTAAAACCTCTCTAAACTGGCAGCAGCAAACATGTTCAGCTCATATTTACACTTGTTTTGTTAACACAACTTATAACCACTCATTGCAAGGAAAAAAAGCCAGCAGCACCAAAGAACTTGCTTACCACTGATTACCACAGGCGTTTTTATTACATTAAAGCTTTAACATTTATCAGAATACCAGGTCAGGGAAGAGAAAAAAAGCAAAATAACTTTTAAAAAAAAAATAAAAAGCAGCCTTGATGGCAACTATTGTTTAAAAAAAAATCTAACCAACACCAGAAAAGGAACTTCCTGAAATATTAAATGTTGGAGCATTTAAGTTATCCACAGCAGGACATGATGAACCCTGGCAGTCTCACAAAAGTTTTCAGTGTTATTGAACAATCCTTCGAAGCAAGCACCAAAAACATGCAAAAACCAAGCAACCATTTGTGTTCCCCTCTTCTCCAGAACCATGAGTTTCCAACAAATGTCCCTCTAGGACCTCTGTGATTCTCAGATGTTGAAACAGTCAAAGACTTTCCTGTTAAAAGGCACATACCTCTCCAGAATTTAACTCTGCACACATTTTTTTATCAAATACTTTGCCAAACCCCCAAAATTTAAATGATTATTTAAGAGGTAGATTTTTCCTACTTATGACCACTCACTGAGCATCACCCAAGGGTAACAATCCAGACCTGATTCAAGAATTTCCCAGTAAGCTGATCATTACAGAGACTATTAAAAAAGGATTCCCCATGCATTTGTCATGTTTATTATCCCCTCCCCAGCCTCCTGTACCTGGCTAGAGGAAATCCAAGTAGCCCAACACGACAATTTTACCTTAGTATCCAAAATAAAGAAGTTTCCATGGATAAGCCAATAGTGGTAAATAAATAAAGCAATAGTTACTACACTATTCATCCCCAACTCCCACACTTATTAATGGTCACAGTGTGAAACAATCTTAACTGATCATAATTAAAAGAAATATAGAAATATACATAAAACCAGCTGTCTTAGACAGCATTTTTATTAAAATGAATACACAGAGACATAGCAGCTTTTACAATAAAGAGTTTTTTAAAAGGCATCAAGTTGTAAGCCAACCATTCAAAAAAAGAGGCTTTGAAATGTTGTCTTCCACAGCACGTTTTTCCCATTTGTCAACGAGGGACAAATCTGCAGATTACCCCAAGGCACAGTAACCAATCTAAACTCCAAGCCCTTTTTCTGAACAGTTGATCAAGCATCACCCTCCGTAGCAGCATCTGGAGCACACTTCAGTGTTCTTTCAAGTGGCTGGTGTACTTGATCCATTTCTTTAAAATATTTTAACATTCAATAAAACTATTTCAAATAGAAAAACTTCTGTCACACGAAAGTAAGGTTTGTTTTCAGATTCCGTGGAAGCTTATGAACTTCACTGGCAGCATTTCTGTAACGGAGCAGGAGCTACAGCCAGCAGAATAGGCACTTCAGCAAAATTGTCCGTCGACAGTTCCTAAAGTCATAATGATTGCAGTCCACAAGACAGTTTCTTACTACTTTGTGGTGGTGTAAGGACACCAGTGGGGAAAGGTGAAGTCCTATTTTGCTCAGCCAATATGGCCTGTTTTGCTTGAGCTCTGTCCTGAAAGCACATGAAAAAGAGAAAAAAAAATAAATCTTTACTTTGGTGTGTCTGTGCATCAATAGACTTCAGTGTTTTATAAAGTGATAGATTGTTAATCTGGAAATGCATATCCATATCTAACCCTCCTAACAGTAACTGATAAAGCACATAGTACTCAGTAGTTACTTGTAGTACAGCTCCAAGAGATCAGTATTAGCTTTTGCAATCTAATGATTAGCATTAGGTATTCATACCTAATCCTAATGTACTCCTGTACATTCAAGAAAGCAAAATTCAGAAACAACTGAGCAGGAAGAACTTCAACTTCTACTTAAAATTCAATAACCTAAAGAGAAAAAATAACCCAAATAAACCACAATTTGCTGAAGATGATTTTGATCCTCTGAGAGTTTCTCACACTAGAAACCACTCTTGCTCCACTGCTTCTCAATGACCACTGTCACGTAACAGTCCCACTAGATCAGTCTCAAGTGATCAGTCTTTATTTTTCCCTGGATCAGACAAGATTATATTAGTGGTATTTCCTAGAGAGAAAAGTCTAACACATGGTATTTGAAGTATCCCAAAGAGTAAAGAAATGCTTCTGATTTCGAGGGTAATCATATGCTGTTTGAGATGAGAGGCTGAAGGCACAATCACCTTTTTAAACTAAATACTGAACAAATCAGTCCCAAGACAAGTCTCTGTCTCAAGAATTTTGGGATCTGGACTACAACCTTATGCCTTTTAGCATCTAAATACACTCAGTCTCAACCTGTTAAGGCTTCACTTAAGTTGACTGTATTTCCTAACCAAAAAGCAAGACTTCAGAGATTTTACAGACAGGTCTTTGTCTTCATTCTGCACATACATACCAGCAAATCAAAGCTGTTTATGTGCGTCTGTATATTGTGCAAATCTTCAGGAGCTATCCCGCTAAAGTGTTTGAGTTTGGAGCTTCCTACTTCCCTCAGAGCCATGGCAAAAGGGACCATCCACTTCACACAGTCCTCTATCTCACAGAATTCATAACCTGCAACACAAGACACATGCTTATCTGCCTGAATGAAGACATAACATTTGTCAACACACAAGATTTAAGTTTATAAATGCCAATACCTGAAACTTTCTGCATCAACTCAGATGAAGAGAAGTGATACAAAGCAGAAGCTGCAAGTATTCCATAGGTATACTCCAAGCAGCCAATATCTAGCACACAGAGATCCAAGAGCTACAAGACAACAGATGTTTAGTAAGCCTGACACAAAACCACTTTTCCAGGTGAAACAGCATTTGAAGGAAATCAGTCTTACCTCTGTTATTTGGACAAATATCTGCTGTGGATATTGTGGCAGCATTACCTCATAAAGATCATTTAAATATGCAACTTGCAGGTAAATGTTTAGCCAAGATACAACAGTCAGTGGATTTAAGTTCCAATTAAGAGCCTGAAAAAACAGACATACAAGATTTCAGTGCCAGTTTAAGTTAAGTTCCTAACTTAAACCACACAAGATGGTTTAACAATCAAAAGCTCTAATCCCAGTTGGCTAAAGCATCTTTAAAACATGCAAATCAAATACTCTCACTCTTCCTGCTGATACAGTCAGGGAACAAATAATTTTGTTAATACACACATACTGGTGGATGTTTTAGATCTCTTATTACCTAGACAAAAACTGCTTTCTAATAAGTAAGAGAAATTGTGCCTCTTAGCATCACCTAAGATTAACCGAGGAGCTCTGCTTTTAGTCTGATTATGCTACACATTTTTAAAAACTAATTCCACTTTTAAGTATTACCTTCATAATGATCAATTCCATACTGATGATTTCATCTTCTGTACAGGCTCCATCTGTAACATAGGCAAACTGGTGCAACTTTGGTGGATAAATTTCCTGAAAGATAGGAGATCAAGTATTTAATTCATGGAATAGGTTGCAACTAGTTTCACGTGTTACTTTTAAAAAAAGAAATAGAACAACCACTGCTTCAGCCTTCCAAAACAGAAAATTTCTAAATTCTGGTGTTCTCTGCCTTTAATAGACACAGATGTCTTGTTCATCATAGCCTTCAAATTTCACTTTGGATGGATCAGTACAAACCTACATGGTTTGACTACAGCACCACTGTGATTGTATCATAACTGACATCAAGATTTTTTTAAGCATCCTAAAGAAAAGTCCTTTTATCTCTTGCTTAAGAACAGACTGAATAGCAGCTCTCTTAAACAACTAAGAGCTTGAAAAGCTGTGTATTCTAGTAGTTCAAATTGTTCCTGTAAATAATAGCTCAGACTATCATGCAGTAGCTACTCTATTGCAATGAAAGTAGTCCCTGTACACAGCAACCAGCCAAAAATTCATTTAGCAACTGCAACTAAAACTTTAGATTTATTCTAACACTGAATTGTCTAATAAGAAAACCAGCTAACACCACAATATAATTTTACCCACTTCTAAAAAAAAGGAGCATTGAAAAGAAAAAAAAAATAGATCTTTTTTCTGTCTCCCAGCTGAAAAAAATGATAGTAACTAACTCCATAAAGCTTTCCACAATGTGTCCAGCAGCCAAGAAGTGTGCTGTGTGTCCATTCACATTTTTATGTTAAGTAAAGCTGGAGATACTTACCTCAAGCTTTGCTGCTATGAATAGAGAAGTGACACCAATAAGCTGCAACAGTGTTTTTACAACATCCTGTTGTGTTGCCATAAAGCGATCAAAGAAATCTTGTGCTAAATAAAAAGTTTCCCTGTGAAGTTTGTAGGCTTCACAAACCTGGAGAGACAACAGAGATTACAAAGGTCAAGAACAGTGTTAAAAAGTCAAATCGAGATGTTACATATGTATTAAAAAAAAGCACAAGATAGAGATAAAGTTTATATTGGCTTTCTACTTCATTGGTATTGTGAAGTAACATGTTAACTAAGTGCAGGAGTTAAACAGCTTCCTTTGACACAAGTGACAGTCATTACAGTAACTTCCAAGAAAAAAAACAGATCAGAGTGAAAAACCCTTCTAGGAAATGCAGGCACATGTTCCAACATTGTCAGAACATCAGTTCCTCGTTTTTTGCAAAGATCCATCATTCCAACACCTCTAAAGGGAAAATTCTCACAAGCACTCTAAAGTTAAGATCAGGGATTATGCCACCAAGTCATCCAAATAGCAAAAAAGACTCAGACACAGAGGAGTTGCATGACAAAATGCATTCTGCATGACAAAAACAGACAAAAAGGCTGTGAGATGGATCTGATCTAAGAGCTATCCACCTTCCTTTTTACAGTGACTTTTGTAATTATTTGTTCAGCTTTTGCCTGCAGTGTGGCCTTAAAAGATTACCCTGTGTTAGGGACAAATTGATTATTATCCACTATCAAGCGAGATGAATAACAGAATATATTGTCAGTGTGCAGATCATCAGCTCAATACATCATATATTCTTTAAGTTTGGTGCCGTTCATTGACAAAATTTAAGATGAAGACAAGTATCTGGAGCTAAACATGCTCCTGAAGTGCACTCATGACAGTTATTAGTGCTCTTCAACAAAAGCACACTTGAAACACTCACAAGCACAGAACAGCTTACCTCCATTAGCCAGTCTAGAAGGATGGCTCTCATTTTAGGCTGCAGCTGGGGATGCCTTTGCATGTAGAATTTATCCCTCACGTAAGTCTCTTCTTTGTTTATCATGTTTTTCCATACATCATCCCTGTTTGCCCAGCTAAGAGAGATCAATGTTTAGTCTTGGCTCATGAGACAAGAGGAAGGCAGAGCAGCAGCAGCCCAGCACACTCACCCTAGAGCTGGCAGTGGGGTAGCTCTGGTGGGAACAACGCTCAGATGGATAAAGCGTGAGTAATCAACAGGAACGGGATCGTCGTCTTTATCCGGAGTGGGAATCAGCATGTGGGCATTCTCGTGAATGTTATTCCAGGACATCTATTAAATCAAACAGGAGATTTTACACTGTGCTTTTTTAAGTAACTGCTTTAGTTGTACACAGAAAATACTCATAACTTTTATCGCAATTTCTTGCCAATGTCTTATATGTTTAAACTGCACAAAATCACAGAATGGCAGAGGCTGGAAGGCACCTCTAGGCCTTTTGGACAACTTCCCTGCTCACACAGGGCCACCAAGATCCAGTTGTCCATGTCCAGAAGGCTTTATAGTATCTTCAAGGAAGGAGACTCCACAACTATTTTGGACAACTTGTGCCACTGCCCTCACAGCAAAAAGTGTTTCACATTATTCAGAGGGAACTTCTGCTTCAGTTTATGTCCATCTTCTCTTATCCCAAAGAAGAGCTTGGCTCTATCTTCTTTACATCTTCCCTTCAAATAGTTAAAAGCAATTGACACAAACTGCCACACACCTTTTTCCCAGGCTGAACAACCCCAGCTTCCTCAACTCTTTCTTTTAAGAAAGATGCTCTGGATCTTGAATTACCTTAAAGGACCTTTCTGGACTCTTTCTTGTATGCTCAGCCTTTTTTTAACTAGGGAGCCCAGAGCTGGACACAACACTACAGAGGTGGCCTCACCTGTGCTGAGTAGAGGGGGTTTTGCTTGTAAGCACAGTAGAGAAAGCTTGGAACTAAAGCTGAAGAACATTCACCCTGCCATCCTTTTGAAGGACCACAGCTGTTTCGTGGAAGGATATTCAAGTCAGAACCTCCTACTCTCAAGCTGCATTTTGTTTTTACCAAAAATATACTTGCCCATAGGTGAAGAACAAGCAGATGGAACTCAAAGATCCAAATATGAGGTCAGGATTTCTGGTAAAGAATATGTAAGATAACATGCCTGAAGCCATGCTTTCATGCAAAGCATCTCAGATGGTGAGCACAGCAAAAGTTTGTAGAATTTTGTACTCATTCTTTTAGCAGCTATGATAAAAACCCAAAGCACATATGACCCAATATTCAGAATATAGACAAGTACATGTTAAGCAATTGCGGCTAAGCTATCAAGCTGATAATTTTATATGTCAAATTCTGCCATGGTCTGCAAGCATCAGATCTCACAAACTTTACCTGCTATGTCTTTTCAACTCTTATCTGGACCAGAACTTAAGTCTAGGCTTACTCTTCTACATCTAACTTTTAAACAGGATCTTGTACACTTCACACAGTGCCCCAGGAAAACACTACTTTCTTTGCAGTAGAATACAAAGCCAGACCTATGTCATCATATCTAAGCAAATTAAAATTGAGCATCTTTGTTTCACACTGAAGTCAGCCATCTTGCTGTAAATTGATCAGTTCTGCACCACTAAAAGGACAGAACTCTCTAATAGATTTCAAATGTGCTAAAATAAATTAAAAATAAGTTCAGATAAATCATTAGACACTATCAAGTAAAACACTATGTGAAACTCGGCCTCCTGCAAAAAAGCTTCCACAGCTGATTTTGCCATCTTGCATATGACATCACTTCCCAGAAAAATGGCTCCCTCCTGCACCAGTTTCACAAACAGAAACCACTGACTTGATGAAACAAAAACCACATTTCACAGTTCTCTCACAGCTAAAACTGCTTTGCACTTTGAGTTACTGACACACAAATCAGTCTTTTTTCTTCTTGGGAGTTCTACATGCAAATATAGCATAGTTATATACCCAGCCATGCCAGAATTTAATTTGGGTGGGGAGGAGGCAAACAAGAGAATAGTATCATTATCTTAAACATTACCAAATCCTTGCAAACTGAAAGTTCGAATGAAAACGTCACATCGGCATTGCCTGAAGTTAACTTTTGTCCTCCCCCAAACCTAGACTTTAGTCACACTTTGTTCTCCAAACTGCACAGCAAGCCCAGCTGCCAACAGCCTTTGGAGAAGTGCTGTCTTATCAGTTAATCAGCAAACAGAAAAGCAGTAGTTTATACAGTATCTATTTAAAGGTGCATGCTACACCAGCAGCTTCTGGAGGACAAGAGACTTACCCACAAAGTTCTCAAAGCAGACAGATCACATGCAACAATAGTGAAGATACTTCACCACCCTAATTTTTCTATAAGGACATAGAAATCAAAGTTCAAGAGCCTCTTAAGTGTTTTGAAAAGAAGGGAAAAAAGTTTTTGACTACATAATGTCACTTAACAAGACACTGAGGAAAAGATGCGAGCAACACCACAAGTACATAGCTTAGACAAGAACTAAAGTAATGTGCAGGGCCTCAAAAGAAAGCAGCTTATTGGGGAAGGAGACAGGAATTAGTTTAGGTGAGGGAGCACACCATAACTCTGGCACAGATTTTGGTTGAGAGAATGAACACATGAATCAGGCTCTTGAGTCTTTAAAGCAGATTTAGCAAGACACTCAATTGAAAGTAAGGAACACTACCAATAAACTGCATTACCTCACACTGCAACTGTAAGGAAATAGGACCCACCACTGAAAAAAGGAACAGTTTAAGGTGGGGAGGATATGAGGAAAACATGAAGAACTTCCTTTGGGCTTGCACAGAGGCAATTTGAAAGTGGAGACCTATCAGAAAGCAACAGATGTTACCCAGAATCTGTGCAGCCTAACAGAGGAAGTACTACAGTCCTGAGCTTCTGAGACAAACAGGAGCTGAATTGGCACACAAGCAAAAAAATCAGCAGGGAGAACAGCCTCTTCAAACCTGTGTGGAGCACAGCAAGAAAGCTTGGTGACACCCACAGAAGTGTTCCAGGTACAGGAGCAACTAAAGATGCAGATCTCTGTCTCAGACCTAAGAAAAAGACACAGACTGGAGAAACTGAACTAAGCATGTGAAAAGGCTCATAGGAGAAGGGGTAGCAAGAGGGCAGAAGGTGGGTGAGAAACCCATTAGAGCACCCAAGCCCATACAGCTCCAAAGAGAAAACCCAGGAGTTCAGAGGTGAGGTCTTTTTAAAGCTCAAACACTAGCAGGCCTCAGTTTCCCACAGCATATCACCATTCACTTGTCCATCAAATACTCACAGAAAATAATCTTTTTGAACCTTCAGGACATAGATCAGACACAAAACAGAGCTGGTAGTGACCACTGGGGTTATTGATTATAGGCCAGGCAAGGCCTTCAGTGAAGAAGAAACATCTAAAAAAGCAAACTGCTGAAACCCTTGTGCACCTCAATGTGAGCTAGGAACCACCAGAATAAGATTCCACTGAAAAGCAAGGAATGCAGCAGGAGGAAGAGAATGACCCAGAACTGCATTCAAACAGCAACATCAGAGGTTTTTCAGCATAGAAATCAATGGCAAACAGGCCTGTCACCCTAAAAGCAGCACCGTACACCACGGACGGTGGTATCACTTCCAAGTCCACAGCCTTAGTTTGCTCATCAGAAACAGCAAGACCTATAATGCTAGCCATTTTTTACTCATAGGATGCATTACTTTGAAGTACTGAATTTTTCTCTGCCATCAGAAGGGAATCCCAGATTTAGTAAACAGGACAGAGAAAAGCAACTCACACCATTAAGTTGTTCCAATCCTCTTGGGATAGCATAGGAGCTTCTACTCCTTTTAAATAAGAGTCTAAATGTCCTGATCCAGATTAGAGCCAAGTCAGGTTCTCAACCTGGGTATAGTTTACACTGCTTTTTTTGTGGGTTTTGTTTTTTTTATTGAATCTTCAGAAGTTAATTTAGATTAGTCAAAGAAATTTTCTGGACGATATTTTCAAAACACTTAGGTGGAACACTTTGACAATGCAAAAATCATACTCTGGAAAATGTCTAGTGAAGAACTGATCAAAACTCCTTCCTGAGAGTTTATTCCACCTTTACATGTGAGAACATGAGCTAGTTTCATCTGAAGAAACTAACTTCTAGATTTAATTCTTCACTTTACATGGAGGTGACCATGCAACTTGTATCACAATTGCACAGATTATTCTAATCTAGTTAAGATGAATTTTGTTTTACATGGAGCCTTGGAAGTGCATTCATCCCCACAAAGCAGCCAGAATTAGTATGAGAATTGCTAGCAGAATTACAGCAGTGCCAGTTCTCCAAAATCAAACACAGAATTTATGCAATATTCTGCTGTCACAGACCTGATAATATAGCCACCCTTTCATCACATAAAGGGTAACGGCATCCTAATTAAGAACTGGGGCCTTATGTTCCACAGAAGCAAACTAATGAATTGACTATGAAGATGTCATAAAGTGGGATGTGACTCTGATATTTTGCCTTGTGGATAAACTAGTGTCAGTAAACAATTTATTTAATGTAGAAGTCATGTGGTATAGGCTGCAGTGGATTTATAGCTGCTTGCATTTTAGAACTGTCGTGTCTCCACAGAATAACTGTCGCCCTGGCTATCATTCCAGCCTGCTATACTGCTGCTGGAACCGTAAACATATTCTCATTAGTGGTCCATGGCAATTTATATCAGAGAATAGCTTGTGTCACACCATAGACTGAAGAGCTGCTGCTGTGCAGCCAAATGTTAGCTTTTTTAACCAGATCTGGAACAATCTGGCTACTTTGTCACAACAAAAATACTTTTCCTATGTAGGAAGAGGCATGATATCATTTATTGTTTATAGAATGAAAGGGTCAAATTCCACCAGCATCCTACAATTACCTTGAAAAATTCCCAAGTACAGATTTTTGATGCCTACTGACTAAATTATCTAAGTTTTAGTTTACCTATCATTCCTGAAGGAACACTGAATGGCTACCAGGCCAAGAGCACAAACAAGAAGACAGAATTGGAAGTCTTTATCTGCTTTCAAGGTTGAAGGTCAGCATATGCAAAAGATACTTCAAGTTTCCTTCCACCGTCTTTCTTACAGACAGTAAAACTGGGTCCCCGTTGAGATTTTCTAACAAATACTTTGTCATTATGCAATAAACATACACAAGAAGGCCTTGCTCAGTTTAAACAGAATGAATCTTCTGATGAAGGAGAAAGCTGCAGTGAAGGACAGGCAGCTCTTCCTTGTCAGAAGTGAGAAATTAGTTTAATATACTGTGCAAAAGAAAGACAGAAGGGAAGGAGAGATCCCCTCATTAAATGCTCACCATTTGAGCCCTGCTTAATACGTTGACTGATAACTAGTGTACGCAGTTGCAACAAGCAGAGGCCATTCCAAACAATGATGCCCATCTGTTATGGTAGCACTTCAGTCTTAGAACTTCCAGCTGCCACTTTGGGTTAGATGTGCCACATTATGCACAGGCTCGCCTACCAAATGGGGACAGGCTGCACACCCTGACTGTGACTTCTGCAACCTCAGCATCACCCTGTGTGTGCAGGGACAGGCTGAAGTCTCAGTGACAGTGACTGAGCAGGTGAGAGTGTGTTCAGGGAAAAAAGGAGGGGAATTAGCCTATTCCAGAACACAAGCTACTCAAGGTGCAACAGCATCACACTTTCAACCTCACTCACCAACACAGCATCCAGAGATACCAAAAGCATCTGCTTTTTCAAGAATGTGCAAAGCACACAAAGGGGACTAGAGGATACCAGCAAAACTAGCTTTAACTTTATAAGTCAGCTCACTCTACAGGCCTTACTAAGAAAGCTAGCAATGGTCACTATCAACTTCCACTGCAGGGCTGATTTTCACAGGTAGAGTGACTTTACAGAAATATTCCTTCATTCTGCAGAGAAACAAAGCCTCTTTTACTGTACCATGAGCATCTAGTATACACTTCCAAGTTCCAATCAATCAGGAACCCCTTTCCTAGTCTGTCTAATAATTATCCTTTACAGTAGGAATAGAGTTGATGCTGGAAGGGGAAGCTTTCCTCTCTCCCAGATGATAGAGAAGTAGAGACATGACTGCAAAGAGAACCATCTCAAGAGATGATTCTGCCTGCATGCTTAAGTGTCTTGTGCTTTGGCCAGCAAGCTACAGGGGCACATGTGCAAGTTACATAAACACATGACTGCACTTCTGCACCTCTCTGGAGAGGTAAACACAGAATAGGTCAAAAGGCTTGACAGGTGCACCCTTGCAACCCCAGGACAGCTGAATTCACGTCATCATTAACATGTTTCAGACCAACACAGATCTTGTGTCTTGCAGAGACTTCAAAACTACATTTATGAACCAAATTGTTTTGCACACTCCATCATCATTGAGGGCCAACAATCCCCCTTGCCCACTCACTGCCATGCAGCATGTGGCAGCAGCATACCTATTTCACCACGTTAACATAAATAAAAAGGTATTGCAAAGCAGAGCAGAGTTAAGTAAGATTACAATATTTGCATATAAAGCAAATTCAACTACCTGTTTTTCACAGGGCTTTTTTCTAGTCATCTCCATTTTGGCAATTTCTTCATCAGGATCCTGTAAGAACTATAAAAAGCAAAATGTAACTTCCGGAGCACAAAGCGCGGGACAAGCAGCTGTTGGCCGCCTGGTCCCTCAGGAGCACAGCCCCGCAGGCCGACCC